CATACTCTACGTAGAGTCGACGAGCTTAATACTAAGTACGAAACGATGAAAATCAAAGGAAAAGCAAATTCCCTTCGACTTCCAAAGTCTAAGTCTGACTTTGCCAAGTAATTATTTGAACTAAGAGGGTGAATTGAGATCGTGACGCGACGCGACCATGAAACTGGACATACTGAGTCAGTCCCGCTTCCTTTTGATGGATCTGACTCGAGAGGAAGACGACCGACGCCTCCGAACCAGTCCTCCACACCCTGCACCCCGTTGGGAGCCACAATAGGACCCGACTTGCACCCGTCTCACTGCACTTTGGACTTACTGCACTGCACCGGGAGCCTGGGACTACACTAAACGTGATGCAGGAAGTAGAGAACCGATCCGGAGGAGCTGATTGTCTTCCTCTCGAATACAGATCCACCAGGAGGACGGCAACCGACCTTTCTGTCCAGTTACACAGTTGGTCACTTTACTTATCACATGAAGCAATAGTGACCGAAGTGAAGAACGAAGTTGCGAGTCCAATATGGACTTACGAACAAACAAATGAATTGAACAAATTGATTAATAATTATTTGGTAGAGGACAGACACTCGTACATTCATGCCTTACAACTAACTTAGATACATGCCTTAAGACTAACCAAACCAAACTAAGATACCCACAACCAATACCAAGCAAAAACTACGAGGAAGAATAGGAGGGACGCGAGATGCGGACGCACGATCGCGAGATCCATATCGACCGTTGGATATTCGAAGAATGAGCTCTCACTCCTCGTGTACCTGTGTCGGTCGAGGGTCGCGGCTCGCTATCGAAGTAGGGAAGGGGAAGGGTGAACAACAACCGCGTGACATGTCGTGACAGGTCGATTCGAAGGCTCGTTGGATCCATCGAGGAAATATTTCACGAAACATTAATATTACAGCAAAATCATATTCACGAACATTGTTTAACCAATACGTATTGTTAATAATTAATTTAACTATTGTCAGAAATTAATATTTAGTTGGTCCAATCGATAGATATTAAACTATAGATAAATATCTCATGATTACTTTTTCTCAACTTTTCATGTTCGGAAATATTACTTCCTCGAGAAACATTGATATAATAATCTAAAACTTTAAAATGGATTAAATATGTACATCTCCGAATGAATTGAATATTTATAATGCATATTCATTCAGTCTTCGATTAACTATTAATAACAATCATTGTTTAGAGTAAGTATTCATCGAACACAGTAATCGTGAGAAACTTTTCTATATCGTTATATCTGTTAGCTGGAATAACTAAAAATTAATTTCTGACAATAGTTACATTAATTATTAACAATATTTGTTCAAGCAATGACCGAGAATATGACCTCGCCGTAATACTACACCGCATAGACAGCGGTAAATGCTTTTTCTCAAAATGTTCAAAATCATTACTAACCAATAAGTCACTAGTTTGTGATCTCAGTCACCAACCAATTACGTTTCTTTTGAGATATTGGACCACATAAATTTTGTCCTCCTAGATCGCTGAAGTGTGCGTCTGAAGTGGCGTTCAACGTGTTAAATGCCTCAACCTGTATATAAAATATCAAAAACAAAAAAATGGCCGGGACTACCCACCTTTCTCCTATATATTATATATACATATCTTGATACTTGTATCTTATTATTATTTTTAATATTACTCTCAAAATCTAACAATAAGTTTGACGCAAAGTCATACCATATGTTCATGCTGAAGACTGTGTCAATATTTAATAAAAAAAACTACAGAAATATTACAATGCCGGTATAATGACTATGTCAGAAACATGAGAAAATATCGTAAAGTGGGAGAAATTACATTTTTTTTATAACACTTATGATAATGTTCCACATATTAATTTGAGTAGCAGAAGTATAAATGGGATGAACTTTTCGAACGATCTAATATCTTTATCGTTTAATCCTTGGCTACCAACCGTTCAAATACTTCCGCGAGTCACTGTTTACATCCGAGCCAATCGCCTTATAATTTTGGTGGAGCCCATTATACCTATTCTTCTTGAACTGAAACGAGCCTCTGGCAAGGAAAAGATTAAGGAGCTCTGTGCTACGCAATACAGATTTTTATTATTTCAGTTCCGCAGACGAGGACAGACTGGACGGTCCCGGGAGTCTGGACTACACAGATCGAGAACTCGCGGCTACGTCACCGTTGCACGATCCGAATGGTCCTGGCGAGGGTAGATCCGGCGAGAGGAGGAAATGCGATCCGGGAGACGACAGCCTAGCCGTCACTAACGAGGAAATGCCCGACCACTACATCTACGTAGCCTATCCACCCGAGCTAAAGCGGCGATTATTGGAGAGGTAAATGAAATGTGAGAGTATCGAGCGTACTCAGAGATTGACGAAATTCTTATCAAGAAAAATCTCGAAATAGAACTAAAAGTTAAACATGGTTTCAAACAATTAGGGAAGCTTGCTAATGCGAATAAATGGTGACTAGACTATGAACACTTATGCAAATTAATATTTTAACAGACACAGAACAAGAATTGAATCTTAACCACTTGCGCTGGAAAGACGTGCCACACACGTCGTAATGCTGAAGTTGAGCTACATATATTATATATTTGTTACGATGAATGTGATAAACTGGGGATTATGCATAATCCCGACTAAAGTTTGTGTATGTGATAACATGTTTAGATTGCAAAATTTCAAAAGTGCGTCGGATCAAAAATCTGAGTGTGTCAAGCTGTCTAAACGTAGCATATTCATTACACAAATTTATTATGCAAACAGAAAAAAAAATGTTTATGTCGAATTGAGTAGCCTCCTCCTTTTTCGAAGTCGGGTAAAATAAATGAAATAACTTAAATATACTGCGAGAAGTTGTATAAGTATGGAAATAAGTACGCAATAGCTGTTGTTTAATTTTATTAGTTATCTATTATTCAAATACAATTTTGTCCACCTCTGAGGGTGACGATGCGAACTCGCGACATACAAATCGTACAGTGATACTCCTGCTTACAGCTGCTACAACAGAACTACTCGACTTTGAGTGACTCGGGGGATAGATGTTTGGGCAGAGATTCGACCCGGAGAACACCACCACCACCACCACCGATTCCAAATCGGGCCCGCGGCTGACACCTTTCTTAATTTTTCCTTCCCCTCTCCCCTGACCTTCGTGTTTTGTATACCAACTGTGGGAATAAATTGCAAGATGTACACGAAAGACTCGCGTTGTTGCTTCCATGATGTGAACTTGAACCAAGCACAAGCTTGGGAACTGAATCTTTTAATATTCGTCAAATACATACAGTCCCACTTATAAGTGCGTGGACACTTTCTCAATTGGAATAAGTATCTAACAAAAGTTACAAATCTGTTAATGAGTATCGCTTATATTTTTGTATTTAGTTTGTGTTGTATCAGATAATATATTTTATCAATAGTTTATTTAATATCTCACCAGTAATTATAAAAAACAGTTCAATTTTCGTTTCATTGATGAACAGCTTCTTTTATCAATCTTGGCACTCTAGCTATTCATTTCTTCATTGTATCCGAATCAATATTATCCTATTTTTGAAATATCTCCCCATAAATGTTGTTTGAATGTCGGCCTTTTTTCCAAACGTATTTATATAAATAATTAAATAAACTCCAGAGTTTCCCTATGAGATTTAATGTGCCACTCAACACTTTAATATTACACAATTCAATATTATTAAATGTCGCTAGACACGCCACTGAATTTAAATTTAGCAACAATAAGTGTTATAGTAATAATTTACAATATCTACATATTAATTATTCATTGAAAGTGTTAAGTGTTCACACATTTATAGACTGGATTGTACTTCGCGAAGCTGCAAAGATTGCTTGTGGGTGATAATAACAATACTATTATCTTCATCATACAATATATAGTAATATTTTTCTATTTGGAGCATAATTTTGTTCCACGAGATGTTACACTCACTCCAACGAGTGATTAAGGGGCTTGTAACATCAAAAAATGAAAAAAAAAAACACTTTTTTTTTTAAATTAAAATTTCAACAATTCTGAACAGTTCTGTGCAATCAGAACTGAATTTGGAACACTGAAAGTGGTAAGTTTTTTTGGAATCAAAACATTAAAAAAATTCTCGGTGTAAATTCAAATCCTAGAAAAGGTGAAAATGAAAGACAAGGAATGGATTAATTTTTTTTCTTTAATAATTTGTACTTTCCATAGTTTCTGTCATTTAGATTTTGTCGAAAAATGTTTGATATCTATATTAGCGCAGATAACACATATCATCGATGAAACATCATGAAACGGTAAGAAAATTTGTAATAGTAACAGTTAAGAAATGAAATGACGTAAGAAATAAAATACGAGGATGCAGTTTCATTTCTGTGACTTCCACTTAACTATACTACGCAGCAACTTAAAAATGAGACCACGAAATCAAACGTCTCACGTGTATTGTACAATTGTTAAGAAATAAAATAGAATCATGCCAAACGAATTTTATACATGAATTACACGCTAGACTTTAACTGATAATAATACCGACACCATACATATTTCTGCTGATGCAGTTATGAGTCAAAATAACGCTGTTCGCGAAAGATATAAGCACGAGAAATTGAACTGTGATCCACTGAATTCCAACGTGTCATTTTGAAGTAAAAAGCGAGGCTCAACTGCGCTGCTATTATACCTAGAAATTCGTCTTTTCTCCATTAACATACGCGCTCGCAATTGTTAATTGATACCATACGAAAATTTAATTAATAGTGACGTAACGTTTTCTAAAAATTCTGATCGCTGAATCTGAATTACATCCCGGTTCAATCTCTTCGGCTTTCCAGCATAGCTACATTTCCAGGCCATCTTGAAATTCTAAACAAGTCATACAAGAAACCGTCGAGGAAAACAAATTGACAGAGATCCGATCCCCGATTAAGTTGATCGAATCACTCACGGATCTTGATCCTCAAAACCAGTGATTCTTACTCACTATACTACAATAGCAGCCCTGCACAGTCTATACATTACTACCCTTACCTTCGCTCCCTCCACTTGTCCACATTAGGGCAGAACGAAATTCTCATTCGATAATCGAGGGGATTTATATTTAATCCGTTGCCTGTTTAAAAATAAACTATTTCCATCATCGAATCTATACATCACGAACAATTTAACCGTTAAGTATTAGAAACCGTGAAAAGTTTTCTTCCCTCTAGATTGTGTGCCAAGAGCCCAAATAGAGTAAGAAACGACAATGCATAATACGTATCGTTGTTTCGATTTTATTTGAGGCACACGGCTCGATTCAACCAGTCTAGAACCAGTAAGTCATCTTGATGGAGCCGTCGGAGTCCCGCTGCGTGTCCATCACGCTGGACTGACGGACCAAACGACGCACGCTCGCGCCACTGGGTCTCTGTTGCTCTTCCAATGTTCTTTGAGGAATGTCGACAGGTGGTTCGGGAACCTCGTGCATCTCCATCGTCTCTCTGGCCGATAGGTCCTCGTAGGAAGCAGCAGCGGACGAAGGTCTGAATCAGGAATGAACGATGAACGAGTGACCAAGAACGAGAGTCGAAGACAAACAATTTAAATCTATAGTTGATATTAACCGAAGCTTCCGGATATATACCGGGTCCTTTGAGCAAAGATGCTCCCAAGTTTCGTCAGCACAACAGCTAGTTTCTTCAGGGGGTTATATTGAATATCGGTGTGTCATTAACCCTTTGCGACCAGCGACTCGTGATGCTTTCTTAGCATTCTATTGCCACGAATGCTGAGCTATCGAGATTTGAGAATCAGGTCACCTTTCCTTCACCGACAATCATTTTATTGACACTTCGAGTTCCAAAGAAATGAAACCTAAAGAAACATTATTGCTGATAGATTTACTGCGTGAAACCTACTGGTGACTGAGAGTTACCTCTCGAGTGCAAAGGGTTAATTCCTGAAGAAGCTAGTAGTAATGATGGCGAAACGTCCAAGGACCAAGGGACGTCTCGGTTAACCCTTTCAGACTTAACGTCCACAACTGAGGACACAAAATTAAAAAATTACCGATACTATCATTTAGGGCGAATGTCCCTATTTGTGCAAATGAAGAAAGACCAATTTTCCTCGATAACTAAACTATTGGAATTTTTTTTTTCCATATTGATTTTAATTGAAGTTAGCCCTAAAAATTAAATTACATTAGTAATTAATGAAGGGAGAGCGAGAGAGGGGAGTAAAGGAAGGGAGAGTTTCGTCCTGGACCTGCCAGTGGTCTCGTCAGTAAAGCTACCTAGCAGGCTCGTACCTTAGACGCCAGTCTGGAGGGTTTTTTTTTTTATTCTCTTGAGTGATACTGCGGTGCCTTGGGAGATTCTCTTATAACCGGCTTTTCCCCTTGATGATTTTTGTGTCTCCTTGCTTCTTAAAATGAGTGTGGAGTTGATTCTCTTATGTGTTGCAAAATAAAAGGGTTACAAAAAAAAAACTGATAACAAACATCTGGAGGTTGGTCGAGAAAGGTTCATGTAGGAAAGTTAGGCGAACCGAGCACTTGTGAGCGCGGTGTCTCTCTAGTGGTGAGGACAGGAAATGCCACCACAAAATAATTGAGGGTTAATATCTGAAAGGGTTAATATCAACTACGACAAAGCAGTATATTGATAATTGGAAACTTTGGTGCAAAGAATGGTCGTCTCTATATCTGGTTACTTCTAGATTTGAACAACCCTGCAAAACTCATGACAAATTTGTTTTGGAAAATCTCCATCTTCGATAGTAACTGGTTATTGCACCACAATTTTCAATGTTTCTCGAACGTTATCGTTGCCAGGGGTTCCTACTTGATTGGAACGCAACGAAAACAGTCGGCACAGGTCCAGTCCTTTCCAAAAAGCTCCCCCTCTTCTACCGTTTGCGGCAAACGATGATGCAGAGTCTCCGGCAGACGCAAGCCCGAGAGACCGCCTATCACCGATACGGTGCCCAATATCACGAGGGGCAGCACCAAGTTCTCCTTACCCTGCACGAGAATGACGCAAATGACTCGATTTGCAGCACGCTACGTCGCGATAAGCTTATTTACAATCACTTACGAGATAAGTAACAAAAGGAATGATGATAAGTCCGAGACCACTGATGTAAGCAGAGAAACCGATCGCTACGCCGCGCAGTTGCGTGGGGTAAAGTTCACCGGCGAACGGATATATAATTAAAAAGGAGGCAGATATCGCGGATTTCGATAACAGGAACAGAATCAACGTAGCCACCACAGCGTCTGAAATGAAAAACACGATTACGACGTCGCCGTCGGACGTCAGCGAGGTGATTCCCTCTGTGGGTTCGCCTCGAACTCGGCGATTATTCCTACAATCCAGCGTTTGCGAGTTTTTCGCGTGAGCACTTCACTGTTCGGCAGTTCTTATACTTTGACTTCTCGCGGACGTTAGAATTTCAACTTCCAATCGGACAAACTCGTTAATCGACTTTTCTTGTTTAGCACTTGTGCATGTCGGAGATAACTGAGAATATGTTGTGAATTTAGCAATCACGAGTAATCAATCTTCCGAGTTAGTCGTTGTTTATTGTACGCAAAGAACGTTTCGGCAAGTCAGGAAGTATGGCCATGTTAGGGTAAACAAAAACAATTTCGTGTAGAAAAGTAATAAATTAGATTAAACGAAGGGTACCGAAGTCCATGTATGTGTAGATAACAAAACAAACAATTTGTGGTTGTATCGAGTCATTGGATAAATACAACGATTTCGAATACATTGAATAGAGATCCAGAGATTATGCAGAGATCCTTAAACCATTAACACCTGAATTAAATTTTGTATAAGCTTACTTTAATTTGTATATGAGCGAATTGCAGCAGTAGCTGATAAATAATGCATCAATAACGGATCGTTATCAGAAAAAACCATCACAAAGTATCATTATTCCATCTTGAGGGAGTATGTTAGCCTAGATGGACATTCTTTAAAAATTTTGAAAAATGACAGAGGTATGGAAGTAAAATGAAAGCAAATCACAGATGCACAGATGCTGGGACAAATAGCGAATATCCTTCTGTAGGCATTTTCTAAACAATAATGAAATATTCGATCGAGCCAAGTCGACAAAGCAAAATTATTGCTGAAGATGATGCGGCTGCTGTTTGAAGGTATCTTACATAGACCTAGAATAGATGATTAACGGTATGATGTATTTCTATTTTTATTTCTGAGACAATTCGTTCTTAAACTTTAAACGCGTTTTTCTGAAAACGCAGTTTTCGAAGTCGATGAGCATGAGAACTCGAAAATGGCTCAACCGATTTAGCTCAAATATGCAGACGATATTCTTAAAAACTTTCACTATTTTCTGACGATCGCACATTATTTAATTCTTTTATTACTTATTAATTATCAATAACAAACAGATCAAAAATTTAGTGAAGAATCAAGAATGAACTTTAGTAGTCATAGTTTTGCGAATAAATATTTTTTCAAAATTCTGAATCGATAAAAAGAACGTGTACTATCAGGCTTTAGGAATAGATTTGGTTTTTTGTGTTAGGAGAATCCGAATCCAAAATACATTGCTCACCGCCAAGTGTGTTTTTGATGACACGCTCTATGTTAATGGTTACCTCTCGCTCAATTTTAAGATTATTTAATTAGATACAAAAAATATATATACCTGAATATATATACTTTATAGTACCACCCCCATTTCGAAGAAATAAATAGTCTCAGAAATAAAAATTCAGAAGTGTGTCTGAGTGACCTTCATTTTGACCATTTAGTCTGGCATGCCCCCTTAAAATTACATTTTATCTGGGTGCATTAGTCTCCACTGTTTTTACTAGTAACTATCTTACAATGTACTTGTAAACATGTACGTTTTTAGCATCAAATCATGTTTTGAAGTATAACACTTGGTTACCTCTGTTATCAAGTTTTGTTATTGAGAACGTGAAAATTGTCATTATTCTGTCTCAGATTATAAATTTAATTAAATTTTATCTGGGTGTACTGACCTCCTATATACTTTATTTTACTATCGTAAAATACAACTATGCTGGTAAGCATTTGTATTTATAACAATCATTACGTTTTGTTGCGATATACTCAATTGCATCTCTTTTAAAAAACATGAAACAAAAAGTGCCAATCACTATAACTTACATTTTTCTTAATGTGTCACCTACTAAAACAGTATTTCAGAATATAAAAGAGACTGCCTAGTCCAGCAATGGGGTATGCTATTCCAACAAGAATCAAAGAATATATCACGGTTTTTCTGTAAAAGAGGTTTCAATGTGACTACTACTGTTTTACAATCTTGTTATACTCCTAGCATCGAGTGAAAATGGCGCCGAGTTCAAGGCGTTAATCGATTATTTCAGAAATGACGTATGTAATGTTTTGTAGTTCTCAAGAAAAATTAAAATATACAGTTCTATTCCATTCATTCTAATTCTACAAGTCTGTAAGAAGTTCATGTTAGATTGACGATTTCTACATTATACTAGCTACTATCAGCTTACTGCGTATTTTATATAAAGATACAGTACTGTACAAAAGTCTACGCCACCATGTTAATCATTAACCATTACTTTTAAGTAAATCTATGTTAATAAAATAAATGTGATGTATATTTGTTATTGTGTTCGTGTGTGTGGACTAGTATACTATATATGTATACACATAATAGAATTATAAAAAACTATTTAAAACATTTAGAGATTGAAATTAATTATAATTAATACGAAACAAAATTAAACGATCAATAAATTAATGTAGTCAATAATTAAATATGAAAGAGCTTTTCAAAATCTACGAAATGATATATAACACTTGCATACATATAAAGTAATTATAATGACTTCAAAAAATTGCACAAACTGAAGCAACGAAAAAAACGCACGAACTTTTGGTTCATCCTAATACGTTATTTCTGAAATGATCAATTCAACTGATCAAACGAGTTCGAGTACCAGATGACAGGAGAACCGTGGCGATACAGGAGATCCCAGCAACGACCATACATAGACAAAGAGGCCATCGACGGCCCCATCGATCCATCACGACCCAACAAGCCATGTAGCTAGGAATCTCAGCGAGAGACGAAAAGAAGAAGCTCAGGTGTTCTTCGTTCCCCAGAGCTGGACCGTAGTACGACAAACCGACGTACACCATGTTGTTGGCAAACCTAACAAATAGAAACACGTTCAGGAACAATCTTTTATTATAACAAAATTTACGGACAAATCTAATGTGATCTGTAAACTTTAACCTAGACCAGAAAATTCAAGCTGACAATGTTCTTTCATAGAAAACACCAAACCAAATAAACATAAGTACACGAGTAAAAATGTTTGACTCTAAATTACTACAAATGCAGTCAGGTGTATCAGACTACTATAATATTATTCCTATCTGAATACTGATTGAAAAGAGAAGATATCCATTACGAAGTAGTGCAAATAGATAAGAAAGTTTCTATCAAGAAAAGGTGCGTTTAATCGAAGTAGATTATCAAACGCAATCGTGTATGCTCTAGGAAGTGGGCCGGCAATAATGGACGGTCTGCGTTTCAACAGATTTATGAGACACAACGCTCACTTGAACTTTGATTTACCAATTCAATGTGATTAAACACGTTTTCAGACGCATGTTCGGCGACTTGAAGAGAGAGAGAACACCAGGCCCGTTGCGCAATCTCTCCTCCTCACTTTTGGACCGTGACATCATCATTCGTTGACGAAGTTTCTGGGTGAAAGAGATTGGTAGCTCTTTCCCATTAACTTTCGCGAGCCTCTCGAGGATGTCGTTCGCCTCTCCGAGACGGCCTTTCGCTAACAGCCATCGTGGAGACTCTGGCAGGAACCTGGAACAATCTTGGACGTTTGAAAATGGCGCCGCGTAAACCTCACAAGGAAGATAGACCGACTTAAGAGAGGAATTGCTTTTTTAAGAGTAAGAATGAAACAATGCTTTGTTGTTGACAGAATCTTATAGAGCAATCCTTGAAGAACAATTACACAGGGTGAGCCGCGCAAAGTGTTACAAGGTATTTCCGCGGAAACTATTAGTGATATCGACAAGTTGTTTTTTTTTTAGTATTATATGTTCAAGTCCAAATTCAGGAAATTCCCGAAATCTTAGAGTTCGGAGTATGAATTTGTTTTCTAAAGGTCCCCTGGTTCCTTCCTTCTAGAAGTGTACTCGGAACTTTAAGGGATTTAGAGTACTTACAATGAACTGTGAAAGGGTACTTGAACCGCAATATTTCAAGAATATTCACAGAAAATTTCAAGTTGATCCGACTGAACATGACGAAATTATGACTCCCCATATAAAATTGCGAGCACGTGTATATGTAATATCACCGTTAAAACTTTAAACGCGATTTTCTAGAGACAGTATTTTCAAAAAAGAAACATTTCCGAAAAATTATTGAACTGATCGCCTTCAAATTTGAACTATATATTTACAAAACCCTCTATCGTCTAACGACTAGACGAGATGATATGTTGCATAGTTTGTTTTTTATCAGCAAACATTCACGACATTTTTTTTTTAAATTTAAACTTTAAGGTTTGACTAGCTGGCATCTCTAGAGAAAAGATGTTTTCGATTTTCTTTTTCGTCACACGATAACAATATGTATATACAATAAAACGCTGGTTGAATTTTTTATTTCAGATTATATTTATTCCGCGACGTCACGATCAACAGGCTGTAACATTTATATTTTTGAGTAATTCGTTCCATACAAATTTCTACGTCATACTAAAATAGTAATAAAAGTGTGTGTAAAATTTCAAATAAAAATTTCGCATACTTTTTTCAATAAAAACTGATTAAGGAACCACATTTTGACACGGAAAAAAGCAATTCTCCCCTTAAGGGGGTCTTCTGGTATAGATAACGAAAAATTGTTTCGCGATTTGAGAAAGTTGTTATCGATAGCGTTTGAATAAAAATTCACAAAAAAATAAGACGGCTCTTTTTAAGTTCTAGAGTTGAAGACCCCCTCGAAGACCACTACTCACCACCAGTACAAGGAGTACAAAAGAAAAGGTGCACTTGTGGTTACTGCTAACGTTCTCCAATCTCTTATCAAGTAGGTCACGCCAGCCAGCATACACAGGCCCATTGTGTAAAAGCTACAAGTCATTACCGTCACGAACGAACGGTAATTTGGTCCAACCAATTCCAAAGCTGTTGCGGAAAATTAGCGAAAAATTAGACAGTACTCTTTTCCTGACCAGATATTGACTTATTATTCATTCATACATCATTTAGATAACGAGCTTTCTATACGAGACATACGTCAGATCAGAAAAATATTTATATATGTACATTATTTATTAAAAAATTATATGTAGAGTGTGGATCTTTATGCAAAATAAAATTTTAGCAAACGTATCTACAAAAATTGGACCTAAATGGGAATATCTATTTTACTTTGCAAATATTATAATATGAATTTTATTTGCAATACTTTTTTATATCATTGAATAAAGCCTGAATGAGTATAAAAGTCTGCAATCTGCTTATATGAAATAGCGTTAATTTATACTAAAAGAAAATAGTTATTTCTGTGTTCGAACGAATTCTACTTTCTCTAGACCTGAAGATGTCGGGTTTAAAAAAAGTCTCTAATTACTACTGCACGTGATCTCTTACATATGATGAAAGGTATCTGGTAAATGGCTGGTATGGTCAAGCCGACGACCATCCTCGTGGCAGCCCATGTCCAAAAGCTGTTCGATATCGATGTTAGAAATCCTCCTGTGATCAGTGTCGCTAGGCAAGTGAAAAAGGATAGCCTTCTGCCGATTCTAGACAGTAAAGAACAAACACTCGTGATAAAGTAATCGATTTTAAGAACGATTAACCGACAACGAAACCGAAGTCCAAAAGAACATTTTTTGAACGGGTGCTCGCTGAGTATAAACAAACTGTAGAACAATAACTGTGACTGATTAGTCAATGTGAATTTTGATAAAAAATAACTTGGCGAACTGTAATACAGAACGTTTACGGCTGAAATTTCAGCCCTCTTCGATATGTAATAATAACGAAATAAAAACGGAGTGAGATGATTTTTGTAAATCGACATTTATAAAAATTAAATACGTTTACTCAGTTGTGATTCGACTAGTAACTTTTGAAAATGTGAAATCCTTAGTCTCGTTATCTGACATTATACGGAATTATATGGAGTTATTTCTTAACTAGCAATTTTTTATCATTACAATATTCAACGATCATTTATCCTTAAGGCAAGGTTGGAACTGCTTATCGTACTTGACTTATTCGCAAAAAAGAAATACTTGGAACGACCAGAAATATATTGAGTCCTGTTGAAGTCGTTGGTAATTGAGCATGTAGTACAATTTTTTATGAAAATGGCAGACCAGAAATTTTCCACAGTTTGTTTCTGCTTATTATAGCCAACAATTTGAGCTTGACCCTTTCGCAAAACGCTCAATGTATCATAATCTCCACGTGTAAATCAGTAATTACCTGTCATTTAGGGTACCAAAAAGGTACACCCCTATCGGACCACCAGTGTTCAGAGCGACCAAACCGATCGTCGGATAAATCGCATGATCGCACACTAAATTGAACTGGAACCCATTAAATAATGAAATAAAATACTAAAGTATAAGAAATACAGTTCAGTCACTCCAAACTAAAATATACAGGACATTATAAAAACAGTTTTGTCAAACTGATTCGTTGCATATACTGTTATCAAAAAGGCAGAATACTGTAACATTATTTTAAAAAAGAGATTCTTTTTGCATTTCTCGATAAATAAACATTTTAAGAATGTTGTGGAAAAATTTGAAGAAAAAAAAAGAATAGCTACAAGGCATTCGCGTAAGCAGGTATCTATGCAAGAAAGACACATCACACATTATTTGCTTGTATAGAATTTCCATATTCATACTCATAATCACCTCTGCATTACTGTACTGTATACTTATTTCCTCATCCACAGTAATGATAGTCCATAGTAGACTGCAGAGATTTATGCATTTATGAAGGTACGAGGAAGTTTACGAGCATGTGCACAAATGCAAAAATATGTAAAATATCAACTTTCATTTGAATTTCAATTATCTTTCTGTAATCGTGAAAATGTAAATTTAAATAACCATATATGGTCTAGTAATTATTTCTGTAGTAAATTAAATAGTTCGCGAAATATACAGGGTGAGTTACGAGAAACAGAATACCTGATTAACTTGGCTGCTATTGGTGATAGAAAAAAATGCATCAGGCCAAAATTATTTGGTATCGAGGGGCTGATCCTCCGATGTTACTATTTTTTTTTTTATAGGTGGAGGTGTCAAGGAGATATGAAGGTTATCTCGGCTTTTTAAATGTAACGCTATGTTTCTGCATTCGTATCATGATACAGGATCTTAAAACGAGTTCGACGACCTGTTACGTAAGGTCACTGAAGGTCACAGAAAGTAGAGAAAGGCGATGATACTTACGATTTTGGTAGATCAAAAGGGGTCATGAAGTGATTTCAACTTTACCCTGCGGTCAATTTTAGGGGTCATTCCAACGTCAACTCGAGTTTTTCCGAATGGACATCCACATTCACGACACCAGATTCGAGAAGAGGTGGGAATTTGACGTTCGGATAGGTTTACTTTTCAGGGGTAGGTACTCTTAGTTTTATCTCGGGATAGCCAACGAGGACGCAAGAATCTGTCCCCTTTGTGGTGCTTGATTAACGCGAGTCTCTTTGCTATTCACGATTCGAGGTTCTTGATTAACGCAAGTAATCCATCTCTTTCCGAATCCGGTGTCGTGAATAGAGGTGTCGAAGAGGTTCGAGAAAATCAAGTTGACCTTGGAATGACCCCTAAAATTGACCCCGAGGTAAAGCTGAAGTCATCTCATGGCTCCTTTAGATCTACCAAAACCGTAAATATTATCGCCTTTCTCTACTTTCTATTACCTTCAATGACTTTATGTAATAGGTCATTGAACTCGTTTTAAGGGGTTAGTCGCAGTCAGGAAAATGAAAACGGACCCTTTCTTGTGTATCTTTTTTTAAGGTATTAAATAATAATTTGTATTAATGAAATTTAAATATATGACAAAATATATCTTAAAGAACTATACACAGATTTTTGTTTTAAAAGAAGGTTAATTTATTTCGTCATAACAGGCGATTGTGTGAGTGGCCATTTTGTTTGCGGTGAGCAAGATTTCTTCAAACTGGTGCACCTGAAAACAAAACTAAAGGTAGATTTAGAAAATATATTAGACTAACGGGTCCCTGATCGAAGGATTTTTTATTTTCTTGTATACTTTCTTTGAAAATGTATACTTGTATACTTTTACAAAAAATTGAAAATCAACTTGAAATGTACGTCATCTCGTTTTAAATTAATTTTTTCCAAAATCCTTCGTTCAGGGACCCGCTAGACTAATCTATTTTCGAAATCTACCTTTGTTTTTGTTTTCAGGTAAACCAGTGTAGAGAAATCTTGCTCACCGAAAACCTATGTTTTTAAATCATCGTCTACGTCATCGGCTGCTATGACGATATAAATTAAACGTTTCTTAACACAAAAAATGTTTTTTAGTTCTTTAAAACATGCTTTATAATATACGTAATTGTTACTTCTGCAAATTATTATATAATAACTAAAAAAAATCACAAAGAAATGTTTTTCCTCTTTCTGACTGCGACTAACCCCTTAAGATCCTCTAACAAAAATATACCGTTCAATTTGAAAAAATCTGAGATAACCTTCATATTTCCTTGACGCCTCCACCTATCAAAAAAGTAGCAACATCGAATGATCAGCCCCTCGATACCAAATAATTATGGCCTGAAGCATTTTTTCTTGTCACGAATAGCAGCCAAATTATTCAAGTGTTCTGTTTCTCGTGACTCACTCTCGAATTTTTCTCTCTAAAAAATTGTCTGATACAACGCTAAACGTGATATATTTAATACGTTATCGTAACGATTACATAGAAATACATATTTAAAATATCAGCTTGATGAAAACATTTTCCTAATAAAATCTAGAGTGACTGAACTAGAACGCGATGTGGGAAAGCTTGCTGTGAATACACGTACGTCGATAACGATGGAGGACGGTGTCTCCGAGGTCTCGTACTCCCAACCATGATCGCACGGGACAACAGGCCACGATGCGTTTGGTATAGACGAGAGCGTCGTCACGACAGAAATATTCTCCGCTGTCCAATCGATATCGTATCGTGTGCATTGACTGTACGTTTCGTTGTCATCCTAATTATGAAATTAACTGTTACGACCAGATAACGAAATAGAGTCTATTTCTAGAGCAAGGATGGATAATAATAGCCTACGAACAACGAAGAGTCGGAAATATACAAATACGAACGGGGATATTTTGAACAACAACTTTTCTTGCTTCCACAATGTACAAAATCGACCTACGAAACTATCTAAAGATTTGAGAAACTGCGATACGCTAAATGGCCCTGATCAAGCGTGGCAAATTAATACAAGGGTTAAGCTTCGTCAATCTACAATCGCCAGTCTAGCCTTTTACAATATCTGAGACTACGAATCGGCTGTTTTCATTGGAGAGGTGACAAGAAGCGATTCTCGTTATTCAGAACTACTTATTAAATTAAACAGATATTTACAAGTATGGAAGGCAAGGTGTTGAAACGTAAACTTTGTCTAAGACGCTTGTTTAACACATTGTTGACCAGTCATGAGTTAACTCGTGTTTGCATTTGCAATATCTCTTTCAATTTATGAAACCCAGGACGATATAGAATATTGCAAAAGCTTTGGTCAATGTGTTATGTATGTAAAATATTTCATTACAATTCATTGTGTTGGTAAAATATAAATAAAGTTTATTGGAGTTTGTTTAGATCGTTTTAATTTCAATTACGAAAAAATAGCCGGTGACACGAAGTCGCTTCTGTGTAAAATTGCCGGTCAACAATGTATTAAGACTGCACAAATATCGTCTCAAGTATTCTCTTGAAACGTTTTTAACCCTTTGCACTTGAGGCCTTTTTTCCTGATATCTACTAGCAACTCGAGATGCTTTCTTAGCATTCTATTGCCACGAAAGCTTAGATTGACTTCGAAAATGAGATCTCCAATTTGAGATTTGAGAATCAGGTCACCTTTGCTTCAACGACAATCATTTTATTGACACTTCGAATTCCAAAGAAATTAAACGTAAAGCAAACCTAGTGGTAACCGAAAGTCACCTCTCGGGTGCAAAGGGTTAAAACTTTTATTTTGTCACCTCTATGAAATATATAAGAACAGAAAAGAATTTTTTTGGTTATTTTTGAGAAACAATTATTAACATTTGAAGTACAGAAGATAATCGCATTAAAATATTGTACTTTCCTACTTTCTGTCATCTTATAGATCTCTTTCGATTTTGTATTCTATAAGTCGCTTAATAAATGGCGTTTCTAATGAGATTGGACCCTTATAAAGCCGGCGAATAACAATACAGAGGATTTTGGGAGGTTTCCTGACACCTAAAGCCAGTATTGCACCTGACTGATAGGGATCGCGAGTTTCCTTCTACGCGACACGTCCAAGTTCTCCAATCCTGGCACTTTGCACCAGTGGGGCGGCGTGTCGGCCATGAAGAGCTGATTGAAGGCGCAAAATCCGCAAGGGAGACACGCCGGAAGACACACGAGCCAGAGAAGCTGTTTCTGATAACGACCAAACTCGCCGACGATCGGCAGTAGATCGTCGAGATCGAAACCATCCTGCGATACCGAAATTCCTGCCTCTTAATCATAACGATCTACGATTCGAAGACGATTTACTCTGATTTATACCACTCGAAGCGATCTGGATCGACCATAATGAACACACAATAAGCAAAGATAGCGAATAACGGACTGCAATTGATCGAGATTCCGAAACTATTAGGTATTACATGCGAAATACTTTTTAAAACCTCATTCTGTTTTCAAATTAAAATTATTTAATTCTCTGAAAATATAGTATTATAGTAAATATAGTATAGTTCATCAAATAAATGGTCAAAAATTAAATGGATAACACTCGTTTACAGGCAAAATGTACATTCAATGCCACTATTGTTTTCTTATCTATTTTGGCCTGAAATCGAGAACAAATTCAAAATCTCATATCTCGAAAATCTATCCATACAACATTTTTTCATTGCAATTTTCGAGTTTAGCAGGCCAAAAAACACAAGAAAAAAAGATAGTAGCATTGAAGGTACATACAAATTTTTTTATTTTGTAAACTCGTCTAATCTTCTCATTGTACTAGTTAAAGAAGAATTGCATATAGTGTGGTGCACGTATGATGATAACTGTCCTCTTTTGAAAGTACATAAAAAGTGGATTTAGGATATTGTTATTTAATAATAAAATACGCCTGACAGCGTAATAGTGGTAGATATTTAACACCATCTGTCGCGTTTAATTCTACACGCGCGTACTTTCATTTAAAAGAAAGAAAGTACAAGTAAAGTTTTTACACACACGTTTATTTACTCAAAATAATCTCCCTTTGGGTTAATACAGCTTGTAGACCGCGTAATTAACATTTCGAAAGATCTTTGCAGCCCTGTTTTGGTAGCCCGTTTAGTACGGCGGTTACAGCGGTGTGAATCTCCGAAATATTGCTATAATGTGTCCCTTTCATTGGAATTGGCATTGTTACCTTGGATCATTCACCCTACTCGCCTGATCTGTCCTCCTGCGATTATTTTCTTTTCCCAAAATTGAAAATCCCAGTGAAAGGGACACATTATAGCAACATTTCGGAGATACAGGCCGCTGTAACCGCCGTACTAAACGGGCTACCAAAACAGGAGCTGCAAAGGTCCTTCGAAATGTTAATTACGCGGTCTACACGCTATATTGACGCAGAGGGAGATTATTTTGAGTAAATAAACGCGCGTGTAAAAACTTTTTTTGTACTTTTTTCTTTTAATAACAAAAGTTCGGTTTCTTTTTAGACAGCCCGTGTATATCGTACCATTCGTGTTTAATTAAAAAACAAAATCCTAAAAGCCCCTTCGCATTGTGACAACTTACTTCATCATCGACGTTCCCGGTTCCTTTGCCGTTGGCGGGCTCGGCGGTCTGATAATCATCCAGGTGCTCCATTCTCGTGCACTTCGGCCACGTCCAGGCTACCAAAACCTCGCTGATACCTTAGAAAAGCGTTACGTGACGTGTATTAGCTCCCTTCCGTGGGCAGTTCGACCGACGTGCTATTCGTTCCATCCTGGTGTGTCCTCTTTCACCCTCGCGATCGTGAAACGAGGGTCTCCACCGAGGAGCGGATTCGAGGCAATGCAAATATTTAGACAACGTGCCAGTTCTTGCGGTCGATTTAACAAATTCTGGTATGACGCGATTCCAGAAACGAGATTCAATTTCAAACAGTTACAGAGATGGGCAAAACTGATGGCAATGACGAATAAAGGATAAACACAACTGTTTATCCGTTACTCGTCGAATAAAACTTTTAGAATTTGTATCGTACGATGAAATATTCCACAGTGAGCAAATAAAAATTCGATTGTTAAATTGGATCAATAGTTTCTTTGCTAAAGAGAACAAATATTTTTCTTATAGTTCATGTTTCATTTTACACTTTGGGTAAGAGTGCTAGACTCTATAAAAATATAACTATTAATGATAATAATTAGTAGAACAATGAGATGAGATGAGATATATACATATATAATACGTTATAGAAATAGCGGAGAATTGATATAAAATTTACTATATTATATATTGGTGGAACTGGCGAAAATTAGCTTTGTAGAATTGAAAGCAATGATCAAAACCTAACGAAACTAAAATTCTACGGAAAACAATGTAATCGACTTTATTCGATACTATTCGAATAAAACTTTGCCCATCTCCGCAACGATGCGAGATTCACCGCCCCCAAACCGCTCGACGTCGATCACACAGAGCCTGCCTTTCGAATACTATTCCTCCGTTAAAAAGCACTTGTCACATCATCGTTTTAAAAGGGATAATAACAAAGCAGACAGGCCAGTTTCACAGCGTGGTAAAGCAATGTGATGGTTTATCCGAACCAAGATTGTAACCCGTGTCGCTACGTTCTTGTTATATTTTACAACGAACTATCGCAGACACCAGATGTTGGTCGAGTTACTCCGGGATTTTGATGGCGAAAACACCGATATTGTTCATCTCTCGGATATAGTACATCAAGCACGCGTGATCCCAGCTTCCGTTCGGTAGCGAAGAGGTGCACTCGCGAGTAGTTTCACGCGCGGAAAGGGAATCGAGGAAATGCGGGACGATACGGTTGCAAGCGACGCGACGCATGCCACGGGGTGTGCCCTTCTAATTCAATTGGGTTAAGGGTACTTAGAGGAGATTAGGAACACTGCTGACACACGCTGCGTGGCGGCCGCGATTCACTCTTAGAACCCGCCGTGTGACTCTTTTTGCGTCAATTTGATAACAATTGAACAATGTTTTTCGTCGTTGCTATCTACGCATATTTTCAACGCCATTTTTGCACTCTTGTTGGAAATCGCGTACCGTCCAACAGGGTTATCTGCAACAGCGGGGTAACTTGCAACAATTCGTTGCTTCTTCGATTTTTTAGGCTTTCCGTTTAGTGTGTTAACTTCGGAGAGCATCGTACTTCATTTAATGTAATATTAATAAACAATAACAAAGAAAATTTGGTTATTTTCAAACTATTTTTGCTTAATTTTTGCCAACGGTAAGTTTTTTCTTTTTATTTGGGCAGTTCAGTAATGAGTTTTCAAGTATTTCCGATAATTTGACGAAAAAAATGTTTGAAATAAAAGTTAATTAGTCTTCAGTCGCCTGAAAATTTCAATGTAAAAAATTTCTAAATAAGTATTATTTCTATAAAAAGTCAGGATCACTTTGACTTTGTCAAACGGCATTGCATGATTTTAATTGTGCCACATTGTAGCTCGTAAAAAGTCAAGTTCAACGATCTATTATATTATAACTTTGACGTATCTTTCAATTGAGAAATATGAGGTGACCTTATATTTTTATTTAAAAAAATGTTTGTTTGGAAACTCTTTACATAGAAATTTGTAGTAGTATTGCAGTAGTGTTGTAGTATTGCAAGTAACCCCGTTTGACGGTAGCTTTCAATTAAAAGTAGGGATGCTAATTGTCTTTCTTCGAAGCTTGGAACGAATTATTTTTAAATTGATTGAGTCTTATTCCACGATCGACTGCCAATATTATTATGTTTGATAAATTGTTTTGTTTGATAAAATTCAATTTTTATTCCGTCTAATCGCTTATTAAATGTAGTAGCCTGTAGAAATTTTGTTCTCCAAAAAAGACCCATTATAGATGCTTGATACGATTTTTCGTATGTCTTTTGGTCGAAAATTATTCTTTGTGCACGATAAACAAATAATAACGAGTGTAGAAACATTGATTTGTTCGGAGTTTGCTTTGATTAGCGTCCTAGGCAGCTGACTTTTTTTTATTTATATTAACTAGACTGCGGATTTTTATGCATTCGTTGGAAATTTGAATGTGAAAGAAACTACAAAATTCATACAGTATGAAAAAATATACAAAAATATTGAAAGCAATGTTCATATTACAATGTTTGCAGTGTAAAATAAATTCCTATTTAGGTTCAATTTTTATAAGTACGCTTGCAAAGATTTTATTTTGCATAAAGATCCGAAGTCCAATAATAATATAATACGCCATTGTAGTTTTGATATTCTTGTTCTGGTGTCTGCGAAGTTTTCCTAGGGTAATCGAAATTTACACAAAGGAAAGCCGAAATTGGTGTTTGCGTTATTATTTTTCTAGTTTTCATCTGCCTGGCGCGATCGTCGTGACTTTTTAAAATACAGACGTGGTCCAATTATATGATTAGTGATAAAATATCAATTTCCATTTCATTTACCTTCTCATCATTTCTAATGTTATGTGGCAACAAACGATTTTAATATGAGAAGGATACTTAGTCATCGATCATATTCGTAGAAGTATCACGAAAAAACAAGTATCTGCTTTGACGAAGCAATGCCATATATTTAATAATAATTCGGTAATACACGTTACTCGAATATTTTTCGTTGTTTAATAAGCGTCAAAAATCTTATTCTTATTCTTAATGCCTTTAATCATTTGATTAACGACTGTATGACTTTCAAATAACGAATAAATCATAAATAGCATGTGATATGTTAATCGTTTAATGATTATTCCTTTTTTAATTGTACAATCAAATAATACGTCACATAAAGGAATAGAAGCTTATCCGAATAACTGTTTAATTGAATAAACATTGCGAAATCCCTACACACAATTACTGTAAGTCATCTGTTATTGCAATCAAATTCTGACCATTTCTCTCTGGAACGAACGATTAAACTGACGAAATTTATCACCAGGATGAAGTCGGAATTTATAAATAAATTAATGAAATTGCATATTAATTTCATTAAGGTGATAAGAACAACAGAGATATACGTCAAAGACTAATAAGCTGAGGGCAATCGTACAAAATATTAATTAGATTGTAATTACGTATGTTTACGGAATAACAAACTATGTTATCGAAGGAATGTGATTTTGTTCGTACGATCGCATTAATTTGACCACGTCTGCATATACGCACTAAAGATGTAACGTTAGGGATACGTAAGCTTATGAATACGATGTTTACAGTGTTCGAAAACTTATACAGAATAAATGAAGTCGTAAAAAAGCAAATGTTGTGCATGAGTATATCTAACTGTGTTTTCTCAAACTAGAAAATATCAGTACAACGAGTACAGGTATTTTCTGTAACGGTACAAGTCCCTGAATGCAAGAAAATTATAATTTGATAAAACCTCGATTTCATAAAACGACGAATTAGTGATTTCTTTTCTAAATAAAATAAATGTATAGTTTCTTGTTCCTGACAAATAATTTTCACACATTACCTAACATCGATTAACATATGCTTTATTTTTCGATATAACTGAAATATTTTTATTTTCTTACCATTCCAGGTCACTCAGGTTCCATCGACCAGGTAAATATTTAGACTCAACAGACTCCACTGCCCCCAATTACTTTCGCTAAATCGAGGTTTTACCATACTTCTCAACGTAAATTGTATTTTCGTACGATATTGAAGATCACGGGAGTTCTTGGTATCAGGAGACGTACGGCTTCGTCTTAATCCGAAATAATCTAATTAATGATTTTAAGACTACACGATACACCGGGGCAATTGTTAGTTTCGCCTCGAGCGGGTATTTAAAGTTTAACGTTCAATCGAACGATCAATTTTTCGCATATCCGTCGCGATCGTACGTACGTGTACAAAACAGAAAACAGAAAAAAAGCCGACGGAGTCAACGTGAAACGGTTTTCGAAAAAAGAAAAAGGAGGAGTAGATAGCCACGATTTTAGAGAGCGACGACTGGTAATAATGGCATCACTGCGTGTATACAGATTCAAATTGAATTTATTCTTTTGGGCAATCTTGCTTTCTTTGTTTCGTTTTTGTCTGTCGAAAAAAGAACAAAAAACAAGGGTAAATAAGATTCGATGAAAACATGTAAGGAAGCGATTCGCATTCCAATCTCGCTTTCCTCCCGGTGTACAGATTTGCAACGAGACGGTAGTAACGCATTCGTGTTTTGTCATTTTTTTTTTCGTTTTTTTTTCTCTTCTGTTCTTTTGAGTTCTCATTTTCTTCCGTTTGTGTAAAGACAACAAATTGAAGTTGCGATGTGGCAGTCGAAATGATTCGATTAATCGTTATATGGCACTGTCGCTTGGCGATTCGTATAATCATTCCTCTTGCACACACAGGCGGTACCCAATTCGGACACATCAATGTTTACGCGAGACCGATCGATCCATGTAAACAGATTCGCGTCAATCCGCGTAACGATAAGGCGTAATGAGATAGAAGATTAGTCGAAGAATCGAGAAGGGAAAAAAATGGCCGAATCATGAAACATGTTTCTTAACATTCCCCTTTTCGTGGTTCTTCGTCGCGCGACCTTTGAATTTCAGCCGGATACAGTTTTTTTTTGCGATTCGATCTTCTGCTTTAGTCGCTTCTCGGCCGCGGGATACATCGATGTGACCGATCCGATACGCTTGGACACGCTTTCCAGGGAAATCGTAATTTCCAGTCATTCCACGATCGCTCTGGCCACTCGAATCAAGCGATATAACCGAAGTCACGTAGTCGTTGTCATTTGTAAATTCCTCGCAATTGAACACAGTTGCATCGCAGACCACACGACTCTGACGCAAATCGAAAAGATACGAAACAGATACAGATAGGTGGACAATATTCGCGCTGGCATGTGAATCAGAGTTGGGCAGTGGTTAAATTTTTAAAGAAACATAATTCTCGGCTCGAAGACGACGTTTGCGATCTACGATCGTACATCGGTAATTTTTGTTATTTTTTAAAGGAGATCTGATTATTCATTAGACGTGATTATCGATTGTTTGGTAATCACGATCGCGGAGTACATTTTGCCCAACACTGACGTGAACATGCCGCACCCTCTCCTTGTTCTACTATCTCGACCGCAAAATTAACATATTGCCAACCATTGGGGGAGGTTTTCCCTCTTTGCGTAACGCATTCCGCGCTTGCGAACGATAATAATGTTTGTACTAACTGTATGCAACCTAAAATCAAAGATAACGTTAGCGTGCACTAGATAAGCGATAAGGCTCTGTCTGGTTCGGATCTCGATTAAGTACGACTTCCTATTTGCATTTAAAAGGGACTCATTCATAAATTGTTACACGCAAGATAGTTTACTCTAAAACGTTGCATAACCATATTCAACGAGATATTACCAAAGACGTTCATAACCATCTGTTGAGATATTTGAATCTAACGCCAATTTGTTTACCAATGACGTCTAACCACGTTGTGCTCAGCGGTACAAGAAAAGATGGCGAAGAGTAGTGAATAGCAAGTTATAATTAAGTTCTATATTCCTGTTCCTAAATCCAATTTATAATCAAATATAATATCAACCAAGATTAAGCTATATTAGTTATTATCTCTAACAGGAATCACCAATACCACCAGAGGCTAAATTATAACGTGAAAATTTAAGAAATTTCGTTCTCGAATGGTTTCACAAAAACACGAGTATTCTTTAAAAATATCACGCTACCAATAAACACTAGTAATTGAAATTTGAGATAAACCATCTCAACTGCATACAGTTCATGAAAAGTGAGCGGTTGGCAAAATGTTAGTGTACGATGAGGAGCCAAAAAGCGTCCTTCGTTGAGCTCGCTTTACGAAAATCTCGTACGATAGCAAAATAAAGATTCTTCGCGGTTGTTCGTAATACTTTGAGCATCGTCGTTTCCCCCATT